GGAGGTTGAAATCTGAGGATCAAGGTTTGAAGCCAGCCTGGGTAAGAAAGTCTGTGAGACTCATCTCCAATTAACTATCCCCTCCCCCCTCCCCCCAAAAAAAAGCCGGAAGTGGAGATTTTTTTTTGTTGGTCGGTCATGGGGCTTGAACTTGGCCTGGGTGCTGTCCCTGAGCTCTTCAGCTCAAGGCAAGCGCTCTACCACTGAGCCACAGTGCCAGTTCCTTTTTTTTTTTTCTGGCGGTTAATTGGAGATAAGAGTCTCATGGACTTTCCTGCCTGGGCTGGCTCTGAACCGTGATGATCCTCAGATCTCAGCCTCCTGAGTAGCTAGGATTACAGGTGTGAGCCACTGGCACCCAACTCAAGAAGTGGAAACATTTTTATAAACACAGAAGCCACCATTATCCTGTAGGTTTTGAGGTATCAGGACCCTGACGGGCAGTGGTTCAACAGACCCAAAGGTGAAGATTTTGAGTGGCAAATTTCATGTCAGAGTTACAAAGAACAGCAGAACAAATTGTCACATGAAGTGCTGAGTACTTTTCATCAACAGGGCAAAACTTCAATACTTGGTCCTTGGGGCTGGGGAGGTGGCTCAGTGGCAAAGCGCTTGCCTAGCAAGTGCAACGTCCTGGGTTCGATCCCCAGTACCAAAAAAGAAAAAAAAAAAAAAAAAAAGACAATACTTGGTCCTTCTACCCCTCCAGCTTCATCTCTTGCTGTTTTATGGGAATTTGATTGTGAGATACAGAGAAGCCATATTATGAGAGGTTGAATCAGGAGTCTTTATTAGAAAGCCAGCCACTGTGAGCAGACTCATGTCCCCCCAAAACTTTCAGTCTCCAATGAACTTAATGTTGTTAGGAAACGAAGCCTCAAGGGTAGTAAAGCAGAAAACAATCTTGACAAACCAGATCAACTCTAATGCAGAGTTGAAGAGGGACGCCATGGTGACTGTGGAGAGTCAGGAGGCATGGTGCAAAATGGTGGCTGAGATAGTGGGACCTAAATAGGGTCATGGTTAGGGGGCAGGGTCACAGGGAATTCAAGGAGTCTCATGAGTTCATGGTACAGGTCTGGCAGGTCTGGGAACCTATGATCCAAGTCCCCACCCCATCTGCTTCTAGGAGTTCAATTAATTGATTATCACCTGGGTTGGAGGTGGGGAAATGGAATCTCACCTCAAGTCCCATCATCCACCAAGATTCCATGATGGTGACACTATACCCAGCATCCATATTTTATTGCTATTTCTCACCTTGACTCTAGTATGCACCAAGCAGAACAACTCCTTCTCCCCCTCCTCCCCCTTCTCCCCTCTTCCTCTTCCTCCCCCATCTTCTCCTCTTCTTTTCCCTCCTCCTCCCCCTCTCTTCCTCTTCCTCCTTCTCCTTCTTCTTCCTTCCTCTCTTTCTTCTTCTTTCTGAAATCTCTAAGCTATGGGCCTCCTGTTTGCCGTTTCTTCTGCTTTGAATGTTTGTATCACAAACCTTTCACCTGTCAGTGGATTCAAGACTTAGTTCCTCCAGGAAGCCATCTTTGAAGTCCTCAGTTGAGCTTGGTCCTCTCGTAGCTATAGCCATGAACTTCCTAAAGATAGGGACTGGGATGGTACTGAGTTTAGCAAAGAATCGTTGTCAATGTGCGCTGAATGACTATAGGTAAACATTTGAGTAGAATCTAGACCATCACCTGGTAGGAATGCTACAAAGGCAGGCACTAATATTTTCATGTTCCAACATTCAGTATTCTTTACTTCTTGACTGAGTATGTAGCTAAGATTTCCTTCCATCTGGAGCCCCCTCCTCAGCTAGCCACCTCCACCCTGTGCCCTCTGAGTGTTTGTTCTCTGCCAGTCACACACACACACACACACACACACACACACACACACACACACACACACACAAGTTCTGAACATAACCAGGAAAGCAATTTACAAGAAATAATTGCTGGTCAGGTAGATGTGCAGCTGGGAGCAAGCAATGAGCTCTGACTATTTCTGTCTGTAGGTCAGCCCACCCAGCTTCCTGTTCGGCTGCCCTGGGGGAGGGGCTTCTGTCTCTCCAGGGTGGGCAGTTTGTTTCTACTCAGAGGAGCCAAACCCAGTGAGAGCTTGATCTGAGGATGGATTAAATTCAAAGGGGAAAAGCTGAGGTTAGGTTGGAAGTGGGGGCGGGGATAGGGAGCTTCCTAAGGCCTGGTATGTATAGGTAGCTAGCACATTCTATTCTCCACCTGTGCCTATCCCATACACACAGGCTTCTGTGCTGGAGCTTCTACCAGAGCTGCAGGGCTCTGCTCTGTGTGAGGTCTCCTCCTAGCCTGTGTCCAAAGTCCTCAAAGCTAGTCTTTGTTTTTCAGGGCTAGTTGTGCTCAAGGGTGGTCCCAACCCAGCAACAGGCACAGCAGCATCACCTGGAATTTATTAGAAATGCAAATTCTGGAAACCACAGAGTGGGAAGGGAGGGGGGGGTGCATCCTATGGATTAAGGAACCCTCACTCAGTTGGTTCTGATGCCAGAAGTTCCAGAACCATTGCTCTTGCAATGAAGTGTCCACTTGAGATTTTAGCATTTGCAGATTCCTCTTCCTTATCAGACTAGGAGCAGTGTAAAGGCCACACCATTATTGGATTCTTCGTTGTAGCTTCCCAGAAGGCCCAACTCAGAAGGTGTTCAGAGAAAAATCAAATTTTCCTGATGAAGATACAAAGGATAGAGATCTGTCCTAAGCGAGGTCACAATCCATGACCAGTGACTAATGCCCTTCCCCATGACTGCTACTCACCTTCAACATACACACACACACACACACACACACACACACACACACACACACACACAGCCTATGTGCTCCCCATAACAAGTAACTAGAAGTTCCCAGGCCATGCTGAGCTCTCTTGTCTGTTTCTGAACAGACAGATTGTCCTATGACCATCCAGTCTCACCTGGAAACTTTGACTCATCTTTGATGATTCAGCCCGGACACAGCTTCTTGCACCCCCCAGCAGTTTGAAAGGCTACTAGAGGGCCCACTGTCTTTTGCTTACTTCTTTCTGCCTACTTAGCTCTCCATATGAGCTCCTTGAGAGCAGGATTCTTCTCTGTTTCTGGTATCCTGCACAGGTCTTGGCATAGAATAGACACCATTGAGTATATGAAGAGTGGTCAGAGTGCGCATGCGCAGGCACCTCTCCTCCTCCTCCTCCTCCTCCTCCTCCTCCTCCTCCTCCTCCTCCTCCTCCTCCTCCTCCTCTCCTCCTCCTCCTCCTCCTCCTCCCCCCCCCCCCCCTCCACACACAAAACAAAGGAAGACCAGAAGACCTAGAAGTGCCTAGGGCACTTCTGTGAGTGGCTCACCAGGATTTCCTACCACACCAAGTGCCTTCAGTTGCTCAGGACCTGAGTGTGCAGATACCCAAGAGTGAGTATCTCATGTTGCCAAAAGCCAGCAGCAGATCAGATCACTGAAATTTTAAGAGATGATTTTTTTTTTTTTTGGTCAATTGCAGGGCTTGAACTTGGAGCCTGGGCACTATGCCATAGCTCTTTTGCTCAAGGCTAGTGCTCTACCAGTTTGAGCCACAGTGTCACTTCTGGTTTATGGGGATTAATTGTAGAGAAGAGTCTCACAGACTTTCCTGCCCAGGCTGGCTTTGAACCCCTATCCTCAGATCTTAGCCTCATGAGTAGCTAGGATTACAGGTGTGAGCCACCAGTGCCTAGCAAGAGTTGCTTTTTAGGGGTAACTGTGACTCTGATCCTTATTTTGCACTCCCAAGCAACACCTAAGGCCTTTGCCAAAGGTAGGAGGGCGATCTAGAAAGAGGCATGGCCATAAGAATACTGCCTTGATTCCTTTGCTATCAGCTTAATAATTTTGCAATGTTAAAAGCCAACAAATAACAACAGCTACCACACAGTACTTTCCCTTGTTAATACTATTTAAGTATTTGAATAGATTAGGAAGGTTATTATGTGCCCTGTTTCTCAGGGCACAGAGAGGGGTAGGAACAGGATTTTAACCAGGCATTTGGCCCCATAAGCACTACTCTGTGTGTGTGTGTGTGTGTGTGTGTGTGTGTGTGTACCAGTCCTGGGGCTTGAACCCAGAACCTGGGTGCTGTCTCTAAGCTGCTTTTGCTCAAGGTTAATGCTCTGCCACTTAGCCCCAGCTCCAGTTCCTCTTTTTTTTTTTTTTTTTTTTTGTAGTTTACTGGAGATTAGAATCGGCTCAAACTGCAATCCTCAGATCACAGCTTCCTGAGTAGCGAAAACTAGAGGTGTGAGCTATTAGAGTACCAAGCTCCATAGGCACCACTCTTAGTGACCATTTTATACTGAAAAACTCCCATCTGTGATTTTAAGTCTTGTAGTACTTCAGTGTTTAAGAAGAGAGTTTGAACTATCATTTTAGTAAGGACTTTCAATAACCTAGCAAGGGAAGTGAGGCACAAGAAAAGGAAAGTCAGCAGGGTTGGGAACTGGCCAAATCCACCTCTGGAGCTGTGTCTGGTCTGCTTGGGACATTCACTCTTTCATCCACCTAAGGAAGTGACGGATGACTGATCCCTGGGCATGCTCCACTCCCTCTCATTCAGTGACTTAGTGAGTAAGTGGCTGACTCCAGGGTGGGCAGAGTCAGGAGAGGAAGAGGTCCTTTGCCCTCCCAATGCTGAGCCCCTCCCAGAGGCTCCTAACTACACCTCCTCTGGGAGAAGGAAACCAAATGACCGTTCTCTCCCCACAGGATTCTCTCTGACGGGAGTTGTTATTGGCCATTCTTCTGAAGACTTAGATCCTGCAGAATTCCTTTGGCTCACAGCAGGCCAAACAGAATAGGATGGCCAGGTCCACAGCAGGACCTTGATACCTTTGCTGGAAAAACCCTCCTGTATCCTACCAGGCTCCAAAGTCCCTTTGGCCATTCTCAATCCTGCCTTCCACACTAAAAACAGACTCCAGAAGGGATGATGCAGAGATCTTTATTGGATGCTTACAGGACTGATCCACAGGTGTCACCAGTGGGGACAGTTACCTCTTCAGGGCTGACTGGAACGGTAGTCATGAAGCAGTTGTGGAGGAAGTGCTTAGAACCCAGGGTCTGCCTCTCCTTGCTTTCCAGACACAGGTTTGAGGAGGGGTAACTGTGTCCCAGAGGGTTTGTCCTTGGCACCTCCATTGTGTTGGCTGTATTTGTTCCTTGATGATCTGGGGGAACTTCCTTGGGACCTGAAATACAAACAAGCTGATGGGGCTTCCTCTGCAGGCCTCTCTTTCTCCCAGGACCATGCCCCCTGAAGTACATTGTACTTAGTTGCTTCATTCATAAAATGAATTCTTGTTAACAACAGACCACATCACACCCTAGGAACTAACAGTATTTCCCATGACTTTACAGATTCGTAGGGGAGACATGAAGATTTGATCTTCACCAGAGCCCTAGGAGACAGGCTCTATTAAAAAGGTGCTGTATAGCCAGGTGCTGGTGGTTCATGCCTGTAATCCTAGCTACGCAGGAGGCTGAGATCTGAGGATTGCAATTCAATACCAGCCAGGGCAGAAAAGATACTTGAGACTCTTATCATCTCTAATCACACACACACACACACACACACACACACACACACACACACATACACACACACACACATACACACACACACACCATAGCTAGAAGTGGCACGGTGGCTTCATTGGTAGAATGCTAGCCTTGAGCAGAAGTTCAGAGTCAGCATCCAGGCCCAGAGTTCAAGCTCCAGAACCACGCCCCTACCCCCACTCTCCCCACCCCTACCCCTAGCCCTGGCCAAAATCATCTCTAGTGTTTAAGCTGGAATTTAAGTCATTTCCTACATCTTCTCCACTCTGAGACAGAGCCAGGAATTTCACCAGGTCCTGCTGATTTCACCTGCTCATCAGCTGCCTCCTATTTCTGTCTGTCCTCAAGGCCCTATGTCAGGCTATCATCTTTTTCTGCCCAGACCACTGGAATAGTCTACAATCTATCCTCTATGCTATAGCCGCAGAGATGTTTTCCTTTCTTTTCTTTTCCTTTCCTTATCCTTTCCTCTCCCTTCCACCTCCTCCCTCCCTCCCCCCCCCCTCTCCTCCTTTCACTTTCTTTTTGGTGGTACTGGATTTGAAATCCAGACCCGTGCCCTTGGTAGGTAGGCCCTCTACTACTTGAGCCACATCCCAGGACTCTTTGTTTTCATTATTTTTCAAATGGAGTCTTATATTTTGTGCTCAGGCTAGTTTGAACCACCTTCCTCCTATTTATCCTTCCTGTTTATCTGGGATGACAGACACAGGCTATTGATTGAAAAGAGCCTTTCCAAGGCTTTCCTGGACCGGTCTTGAGCTTTGTTTTTGTTATTTTTTTTTGGTCTGTTGTGAGGCCTGAACTCTGGGCCTGGGCCCTATACCTCAGCTCTTCAGCTGAAGGCAAGTGCTTGCCACTTGAGCCACAGCGCCACTTCTGGCTTTTTCTGCTTATGTAGTGCTGAGGAATTGAACCCAGGGCCTCATGCATGCAAGGCAAGCACTCTACCACTGAGCCATCTTCCCAGCCCCTGGTCTTGAGCTTTGATTCTCCTGGTCACTGCTTCCCAAGTAGCTGGGATTATAGGCATCAGCCATTGTACCTCACCTCCAGAGAGACCTTTTTTGTTGTTGTTGTTTTTGTTGGTCATGGGGCCTGAACTCTGGGTCTGGGCACTGTCCCTCAACTCTTCAGTTTAAGGCTAGCACTCTACCACTTTGAGCCACAGTGCCCACTTCCAGCCTTTTCTGCTTATGTGGTGCTGAGGTGGCTCAGTGGTAGAGTGCTTGCCTCACGTGCATGAGGCCCTGGGTTCCATTCCTCAGCATAACATAAGCAGAAAAAACTGGAAGTGGCACTGTGGCTCAAGTGGTAGAGTGCTAGCCTTGAGCTGAAAAGCTGAGGGACAGCACTCAGGTCCAGAGTTCAGGCCCCACAACTAGAAGAGAAAAAAAAAAAAGATAAAGAGCTGGAGTTGGCTACTCAACAACCATTCCCTGTCTTCCCATTTAGATAGCTAATTTGGGTAGGACTGGCCTTATCCCAAATCCAGGAGTAGGCTCAAAGGATCCAAATCAATAAAGTTATCTTGTTCCTTTGCCATTGAATGTGCAATCAATGCAGAGCATTGACCTTAGGTGGTCCAATCAAGTAAAGCTCACTCCATTTGTTTTTTTTCCTTTTTCACTGAAGGAAAGGATGGCACCCTCTGATGTCTTCTGCTTGATGGGAACCAAAAGCCTAGGTAGGGACTGTGGTACCATTTACAACCAGGAAAAAAGACAACAGTGGAGAAAGCCAACCCAAGACAGAGGGTAGAGCTGACAGTCTGAGGGCTGTGGCTTCACAGGCCTCAGACTGTGAACCTCTGCACAAACCATGCCGACAGCCAATCCTATTTTTGGACTCCTCACCCTTTGTTTTTCTTTGAACTTTCTATTTTTAAGTAACCAGAGACTCACCAGAAGGTATAAAAATAGCACAGAGATGCAGTGTTCCCTTTATCTAGCTGTCCCAGTGATAGTATTGTATTCCTCCTAAGGAGAATATTTATATAAGTAGGAAACTGATATTGATAGAAATTGATTAGCCCAACCATAGATCTTACTCATTCTTACCCATTTTTATATCTACTTTTTTGATGTATGGCACTATAAAATTTTGTCATTGTATGTATAGATTTCTGTAATCACTGCAACCACAATCAGGATAAAGAACTTATTCATCATGGCTGAGAAACCTGCTCCCACTGCCTATATATAGTCAGACCTTCCTTAAACCTAATGCTCAGGGCTGGGAATGTGGCTTAGTGGTAGAGTGCCTGTTTGGATACAGGGTACATGTATTTTTAGTTTAAGTTGGCATTGCCAAATTTTGCACAAAGCAGCTGCTCCAATTTATACTCTAACCATCCATATATGATAGTATCCATTTCTACTCCAATTTTCTCATTATTGATATGATTCATTTCTAGGCTTATGCCAATAGAATTTTTTCTTTCGGTTGTGGGGCCTGAACTCTGGGCCTGGGCACTGTCCCTCAGCACTTCAGTTCAAGGCTAGTGCTCCACCACTTAAGCCCCAGCTCCACTTCCAGCTTTTTCTGCTTATGTGGTTCTGAAGACCTCATGCATGTAAGGCAAGCACTCTACCACTGAGTCACCTTCCCAGCCCAGTAGAATTATTCTAAAAAGCAATATCTGTTTTTCCCCCTAAAGGTTAATGCTCTATCACTGTGAGCCACAGCACCACTTCTGCTTTTCTAATAGTTAACTAGAGATGAGTCTCATAGCTGACACCGGTAACTCACGCTTGTAATCCTAGCTACTTAGAAGGCTGAGATCTGAGGTCATGGTTCAAAACCAGCCTGGGCAGGAAAGTCCATGAGTCTCTTACCTCCAATTAACCACCAGAAAACTGGAAGTGGCGCCATGGCTCAAGTGGTAAAGTGCTCACCCTGAGCTGAAGAGCTGAGGGACAGCACCCAGGCCCAGAGTTCAAGCCCCATAACTGACCAAAAAAAAAAAAAATACAAAAAATAGTCTCACAGACTTTCCTGCCTAGGCTGGCTTCAAACAGTGATTCTCAGATCTCACCTTTCTGATTACAGGCATGAATACCTGGCAGAAATAGCATTATTATTATTATTATTTTGGTCGGTTGTGGGGCTTGAAATCTGGGCCTGGGTGCTGTCCCTCAGCTCAACTCAAGGCTAGCACTCTACCACTTGAGCCACAGCACCACTTCTGGTTTTCTGAGTGGTTTATTGGAGATAAGAGTCTCATGGACTTTCCTGCCAGGGCTGGCTTTGAAACACAATCCTCAGATGTCAGCCTCCTGAGTAACTAAGATTACAGGTGTGAGCTACCAGCACCTGGATTTTTTTTTTTTTTGGTTGATCATGAGTCTTGAACTCTGGGCCTGGGCACTGTCCCTCAGCTCTTCAGCTCAAGGCTAGAGCTCTACCACTTGAGCCACAGCACCACTTCCGGTTTTTTGGTGGTTAACTGGAGATGAGAGTCTCACGGACTTTCTTGCTCTGGCTGGCTTTGGGCCTTGACCCTCAGATCTCAGCCTCCTGAGTAGCTAGGATTATAGGTGTGAGCCACTGGTGCCCGGCCAGAAATATCATTCTTAAATTGCATTCTGGTTATTAGGAAGGTTGAGCACCCTTCCATGTGAATTGGGCATTTGTGTCTGTGGGGTACATTTGTCTGATTTGTTCAACAGTGTACTTATATGTTCTGGATGTCAATTCTGTTTCTTTTCTTTTTTTTTTTTTTGGGTCCGGTTGTGGGCCTGAACTTTGAGCCTGGGCGCTGCCCCTCAGCTCTTCAGCTCAAGGCTAGTGCTCTACCACTAGAGCCACAGCGCCACTTCCGGCTTTTTTTTTTGCTTATGGGTGCTGAGGAATCGAACCCAGGGCCTCAAGCATGCAAGGCAAGCGCTCTACCACTGAGCCATCTTCCCAGCCCCAGTTCTGTTTCATTTTAAACAGTCAATTCTCATTATTCACATTAGTTATGTTCTGGAAAGTCATCACCAATACTGAATTAGAAACTACTGAATCATTGCTTCTAGAGGAAGCATAGTTTCTATGTATTTCTGGTTATAATACTTTTGTCAGTCAGTCAATACATAACGTTGTTTTTGTGTACTGATGTTCAAAGATACCTTATTTAATATATATAATTGATTTGTTAACATTGAACTCATAGCCAGCAGCCCTGAACAACACACATAGTTTTTCCACAAGACACAAGCCTTTGCAGTGCTAGGGTTCAAGCCTAGAGCCGTGTGCTTGCCAGGCAATTACTCTAACTCTGAGCTACATCCACAGCCCTCAAGGAGGCTATTTTAAACAGTGAAATTGTCAACAAAAATCACAGAAATTTTTTTTAAATGACACTGAACACCCTGCAAAGAGCAACTTGTTTATAGGTTTGGAGCTGGAACAAGAAGGCAGAATGTCACCACGGTCAACATTAATTGGAAAGTGTGTACCTCACATTTTTTGTCCCTCTGCACTTCCCACATCTGCAAATGACCTCAGCAGTGCCTCAAATATTGGTTTAGAGGTTACATTTTAGCAAGCAGATAAGCTTGCAAATACAGGATCAGAGAATAAGATCAATCATTTGCTGTTGTAGGTAGATATTTACACATATACATTCTATATTTTTCTTTCTAGGCCATTTTTGTTAATTTCATGTATGACATCGTCTATATAATTTGTATTTGATTGGCTAACTTTACCAATATGTATTTCTTACATTCTGATTTCTTTCCCTACACCCCTGCCAATGATTCCTGGGAATTCTTTACTCCACAGAGAAGAGAGGCATCCTTCGTCCCTTAGTATCACTCCTCCTATTTCTCAGTGCTCAGCCTCAATTCCATCATTCGCACAGGTAGTGATCAGCACCTAGGAAAGTCCTTTCACTGTTGCTTGTTGCCTTTTTATTATTAAGTTAGACTATTAATTTTTTTTTTGCCAGTTGTGGCGGCTGAACTCTGGGCCTGGGCGCTGTCCCTCAGCTCTTCACCTCAAGGCTAGTGCCCTACCACTTGAGCCACAGCACTACTTCTGGCTTTTTTCTGCTAATGTGGTGCTAAGAAATCAAACCCAGGGCCTCATGCATGCAAGACAAGCACTCACCACTGAACTAACTTCCCAGCCCCAGACTATTAATCTTTTGTGTATGGTGGGGGCAGTCCTGGGGCTTGAACTAAGAGCCTGGGCACTGTTCTTGAGCTTTTGTGCTCAAGTATATTGTTCTATGCCTTGAGCCATAGCTCTACTTCCAACTTTTGGGTAGTTAACTGAAAATAAGAGTCTTATGGACTTTCCTTCCTGGGCTGGCTTCACACGGATCTTCAGCTCTCAGCTTCCTGAGACACTAGGATTACAGGCATGAGTCACCAGGGCCCAGCTAGGAATTTTGTCTTTTACAAATAATGGCTCTGGCCTTCCTCTAGTTTCTGAATAACCTTGAGTTCGAGAGGCAGCAAACTTGTCTTATTAATATCTGTTTTGTTTGGGATAATATTAAAATCTACTTGTATTCCTTAGGGCTTGAGTTAGAATAGCATCTCAGAAAATCTACTACCTGGATTAATCTTTGTGTAACAAACAAAGTGTTGACTACAGCAAAGGAGTCAGATAAACAATGGGCCCATGAAAATGTTCAGATCATGAACCTCCTGTGCTGCTGCTTCTGAATCTTCCAGGAACACTGGGGAAGCAAATGTTCCAAACATCATTTCTAATTATCTCCCTTCTGGAAAGGTGCTAGCCTGTTCAGTACAAAGAAGTCATGTGGCCTTGTTCTTACCTGTCGTCTGTAAACTTAAGCCTGGGTCCAACTTTGTGTGGGGCTTTGAGCTGATGAACAGATAACAGAACACACAGGCAGTCACAACGAAGGCCAGGAGAACCATTGCTGCTATGGAGAGGCCCACAAGAGCGCCAATACTGGGGAGAGAAGACCACAGGGGACTGAGTGTGGGGGGGCTTTGGGAGGTAGCCTCTTAGAGAATTGTGCTCTGGTAGGGATTCCACCTTTTACAAGGGACATCTATGTAAAAGAACCTCTAAAAGCAGCATTTGTGCAAAGGGTGAGAGGACTATGGAATGTGTCCCAGATTGGAGGTCCTTGGAAAAGCAGGTACTACCTCTGCTTGTCTGCCTAGAGACTGGGGAATAACCTTTGTATACAGAGCTAGGGATAGAAGGGAAGAGGCTAAGGAGGAAATCCTGGTCTTAGGATAAGATGAACTTTAAATGATCGCAATCATCCTGTGGGGAGACATCGCTTCAGGAGGTGGTGTGTTCTCTGTCTCAGGAAAGGTTTGAAAGGACATTTGGCTTTGTAGGATCTCATTGGTCTGAATCTAAATGACAAACAAATGAAAAACCTCTGTGAACTCTCAAAAAGAATTTGAGGAGGGGCTGGGAAGGTGGCTCAGTGGCAGAGCACTTACCTTACATGCATGAGGCCCTGGGTCCGATTCCTCAGCACCACATAAGCAAAAAGAAAAAAGCCGGAAGTGGCACTATGGCTCAAGTGGTAGAGTGCTAGCTTTGAGGTGAAGAGCTGAGGGACAGCGCCCAGGCCCAGAGTTCAGGCCCCATGACCAGACCCCCCCCCCCCAAAAAAAAAAAAAAAGAATTGGAGGATCAGCTTTGACACCAGGGAGTTCTAGGTTTGAATCCAAGTTCTGCCACATGTAAGCTAGGAAATCATTTTACTCTTTTGATCTTCATTTATTTTTATTTTTATTTTTTTTGGGTCCAGTCGTGGGGCCTGAACTCTGAGCCTGGGCGCTGTCCCTCAGCTCTTCAGCTCAAGGCTAGTGCTCTACCACTTGAGCCACAGCGCCACTTGGCTTTTTTCTTTTTGCTTATGTGGTGCTGAGGAATCGAACCCAGGGCCTCAGGCATGCAGGGCAAGCGCTCTACCACTGAGCCACCTTCCCAGCCCTTGATCTTCATTTATAAAGCTTCCTATCTCACCTGGTGGTCCTAAGGATTAGATACAGTTCCTGATCACCAACTCTGCCCTCCTACAAGGCTGCTGTTTCCAGCTCACATCCTGGTAAAAGCAGAATGAGTGATGGAGAGTGTTTGGCAGGTGTAGCAGCTGATGTGAAAATACCAGCTGCTTCTTCACGGAGTGTTTTGCTTTAAAAGCCCACTCAAGCATTCTCTCTCCAAGGAAACAGAGCTTACCTGAACAGTTTCATGTTTGTAAGGACCAGTTTTCATGCAAAAGACCACATAGAACTCTGAGTAAAATTAAGGTCTCTACCCTGACGTGGTGGAACTCTGTCCAGATCATGAGGATGACGAGGACAAAGAATTTCTGGGTCTGAGCTTACTGATCATTTAGGTGCCTTGAGGACCCTCACAGTCCTTCCCGGCCCCATCACAGCCTGTGATGTTGATGAACCACATTATTTTTGAGCTCAGAAGGAAATGTGCCCTGCCCCCCTCCCAGAGCCTTTCAACTGCCCTTGGGGTCACAGTGACATGGGATGTGACTTCAGAGATCAATGCATCCAATCCTCCCCCTGAAACATTGTCTGAACCACTAAGGTACTCCATGGGGACGTTTCCATGGCAACAGGTAGGATCCTGGAAGTGTGTAGGGAAGGGGTACGTCCTGGGTGCTAAGAGGGTTACTCATCTGTGTGTCTCCACGGACCTACAGAGTGCTCAGAAGGCACCACAGCCGGTGAGTGTTTTTTGAGTGATCTGAGTAGATCAGGTTATAAGAGGGCCAGGCTAAGTTTAGATAGTCCTGGAACAAGATGAGCCCAGGCTTGAGGCTAGATAAGCCTGAGTATTCTTCCCAACTCTTCCACTTCTCACTAGGGCCTGCCCAGATAAACAACTTAACTTCTCTCAAGTCTTCCCATCTGTAAAGTAGAGACATATGCCAGGGCTAAGAGTGTCTAACTCTTGGGCTGGTCCTGGGTAATGTTCTCGAAATCTCAATTTGCTATGATATTTCTAGATTTTGATAATTTACTTTCATACTCTCAGCTTCACACCGCACCCCTACTATATGCACTGGTCACTTGACGTATGCATTATTATACTCCTTACCACAATTCCAAGTAACAGGTCCCTATTTTTAAGATGAGAAAAGAGATCAGGAGATGAAATAACTTTTCCAATTCATGCAGCTAGTAAGACAGAGCTGAAGTTTGGAGCAGTTTGTGTCTAGATCCAAGGACTCCACTTTCCTTGTACTTCAAAAAGAAATCCAAGGGGCTGGGAAGGTGGCTCAGTGGTAGAGCACTTGCCTTGCATGCATGAGGCCCTGGGTTCGATTCCTCAGCACCACATAAGCAAAAAGAAAAAAGCCGGAAGTGGCGCTATGGCTCAAGTGGTAGAGCGCTAGCCTTGAGCTGAAGAGCCTAAGGGACAGCGCCCAGGCCCAGAGTTTAGGCCCCATGACCAGACCCCCCCCCCCCAAAAAAAAAGTCTCAAAAAGAAATCCAAGCCTAAAGTGCTCCTACTTTCTCTGCACCACTTTATTTCCACTTCCATCCAGTGGATCTGAAACAAACATGCCATTGTTTTACTTCTGTTCTGTGTGTCACTACATGGACTGAGCTCCTCTGGGGTGGAGAATAATGTATGTTTGTATCCCCAGTGTCTTTCCAAGTGTCTGGCATAAAACAAAGACTATAGTAAGTCAATGATGATGTGGATGATGGAAAATGAATTCATATGGGCAGGCTCCGATAATGTTGCTATCTGAACCTCTTTTAGAATTACAAGTGGAACACTCCAGAAAAAAGTAATGTTAATGTTTGTAACTGTCACTGCTACATACCCTAGTTGCAGTAGCATAAAAGAGTTGCCTTTGTCAGAATTCAAGGCAATGATTGGTTACTCTCCCCACTTGACAAACAAAAAGACTCAGAGGCTCTGAGAAGTTTTGGTAGCATGTGATACTGTCTGAACTTTCCACCCTGGGAACATGCAGTCCCCACTCATAACCTTCTAGACAGGAAAGTCATTCCCTATTGAGATGGCTCGCTCCAATTTTCCTGATGCAGGTTAAGGATCAGCAGGATGAAGCCTTTGGAAACACAGAGGAACTTAAACCCAGATCACACTTAGGTTCCAAGAATGTCAGCGTTGGCCTAAACAACCCTTTCCCTGAACAACTGGGGAAACCAAAGCATTATACTTCTATTGCCAAGCCCCAGGCTGACTTCTGCCATGCCATTATGCCACCATGTCAAGAAGAACCTAGAGGTAGTTCTGAACTCCAGGTTTTCTGTCTTAGCTTGAGAACAGGGTACCTCTCAAGTGCTTACCACAGGGCCAGGCAGACACTAATGTTCAGTACAACCATGACTGAATGAGAAAGAGAACCAAAGGGTTGGGGCTGGGTTAGGGCGCAGCACTGGATAGGGGAATCAGGCTTGAGGCTGAGATTTGGATGCAGGGCTAGGCCCTATGCGAGGTCAGAATGTGGGTGAAGGATTGAGGTGGGATTACAGGTAGGCTTTAAGAGAGGAGGTTGAGGTGAGTGAAGAGTAAGGACTGTGCCCAGTACTGAGGCCTGGGTAAAACTAGGGGGGAGGTGGTTTGGCCATCAGGAAGGGGCTTTTGGTGGGCAGCTGGAGGAGCGTGGGTTTCTGGTGAATGTCTGAAGACAGAAGTTTGCTTTTGGGGGATTTGGGTGAAAGCCGTGGTAGGACAGATTTTGGGAATGGGGACGGGATGAGGGCGGAGGAGTGGAGCTGGGGTGGGGTTCAAGCATGATTCTAAACAATGGTTGGGGTTAGGGTTGAAAGAACGGAGCTGAAAGGAGGTGGGGCTGGCGAGGGGGTGGGAGGAGGTGCCAGGGTGGGCATGTGGAGGAGGGCTGAGGCTTGGCTGGGACTGGCCTGGGCTGGGGGACCGGGAGGGGGGCAGGGGGCTAAGGCAGGGGCGGGGTTCTAGGTGGGGTTAGGGCCCGGGGCGGGTACCTGAGCCACCACATGTAGCTGTGCTCGTAGGGAAAGAAGCTGTGCGGGTCGTCGCAGCAGTACTTGTGGTCCCGGAAGCCGCAGCAGAAGACGGCGGCCGCTTCGCCCCCGGGCGGCGGGCAGCTGAAGCCCCGCACCACCTCCTGCTCGGCGCTCACGTAGCTCGTGCAGGCGCCGCTCATCGCGCCCCGCCGGGACACCGGACGGACGGACGGACACGCGAGGGCTCGGGCGATCGCTCGCTCGAGGGACTGTGGGAGACCCAGCTCAGCCTGGGGAAGACAGAGACAGAGAGACGGTGAGGGAGAGCTGGGCTCCGCCGCGGGTTCGGACCCAGCGGCCGCCAGGTGCGCGGGCGCCAGGAGGAGGAGGGCGGGGTGGGGGCGCCGGGCGGAGGGAACCCCAGCTGGAGCTCAGGGTGCGCGGGGGAGGGGTGGGAGGGGAGTGCCCGCTGGGTGGGGCACTGCTCCCCCTCCCATGCGTGCACCGGGGCTCTGGGTGAGCAGAGACACAATGGCCCGGGTGGCAGGGCAGGCGTTCGAGGCTCACCCGCGCCGAGCGCGCGCCTTGCAGGTGCTGTGCCAGCCGCTAGCACTCGCACAGCGGTTCTGGGCTGTGCCTGAGACCACAGGTGGCCGGCCCCCCGTGCCCACCGTAGGGTCACGTGGGCTGATTGACATAGTTCTTGATGTCACCATCACAACAGCCCAGGGGAGCAAGGATGTTTCTTCAAACCAATCTATCTAGGAGAGAGCGGAGGAGCAGACACAAGTCACCCCCCCGCCCCGTTCCTGAACCCTTGAGACTCTAACCCGTGAACCCCTACCTACAGTTCTCACTGCAACACCCCCTTCCTTTTTTCCCCCTCCCAGCAGGCTTTTAAAATATCCTGATTTTCTGATTTCTAGCCTTTCTCCTCCTGCTTTTTTACTTTTTAAAACTGTTATTATAAAGGTGATGTACAGAACGGTTACAGTTACATAAGTCAGGTAATGGGTACACTTCTTTTTGGACAGTCACCCCTCTTCCCTCCCTCTCTCCCAGTTTTTCCTTCATCCCCATGCACATAGTGTCTAGTGAGTACCACTGTTGCATTTGTTCACCCTTTGTCCCTCCCCTTACACTCCCAAAGACAGATAAATGAACAAACAAGACAGAAAGAAAAGAAAACAAAAACAGCAACAAAGAAAAATCTTGTTTCCATCTCTTGGAGTTCATTTCCATAAGTACTATGCTGCGTGATCAGAGGCACATAGGCACCTTTGTGTTCCACTCTTAAGAGTACCCTCCTGCACTTCCACGCATGACAGTGTCCTTACTCCCTGCCATTGGCCAAAGACAAGGGAGGGATTGTGGTTGGGGGTTGCCAGGAGAGCAGCTCTTTTCCCCAACTGCAGCAATGCCAGTACATGTAGACCTCTTCACATTCAGATATGCTTTACCTGAGCCTGTGCTGGTGGCTCACGCCTGTAATCCTAGCTACTCAGGAGGCTGAGATCTGAGGATCACAGTTCAAAGCCAGCCCAGGCAGGAAAGTCTGAGAAACTCTTATCTCCAATAAACCACCAGAAAACCCGATGTGGCACTATGGCTCAAGTGATAGAGCGCTAGCCTTGAGCTGAAGAGCTGAGGGACAGTACTCAGGCCCGGAGTTCAAGCCCCATGATCGACAAAAAAAAAAAAAAAAAAAATCTTTATCTGTCCACATGCCCCTCCAGTGGACACAGGAGTCAGTTAAAAAAAATGTGGCTTGGGCTGGGAAGGTGGCTCAGTGGTAGAGTGCTTGCCTTGCATGCATGAGACCCTGGGTTCGATTCCTCAGCACCACATAAGCAGAAAAAGCCAGAAGTGGCGCTGTGGCTCAAGTGGTAGAGCGCTAGCCTTGAGCTGAAGAGTTGAGGGACAGCGCCCAGACCAAGAGCTCAGGCCTCATGACCAACAAAAATAAATAAATAAGAAAGAAAAAAGAAAATATGGCTTATAGACACAATGGAATTTCACTGATCCATTAGGAAAGATGATAATACATTGTTTGCAAACAAATGGATAGACCTGGAAAAGAATTATGTTAAATGAGCTGAGGCTCAGAGGGACAAAGGATGCTTATTTTCTCTTGTGTGGAAGCTAGAACTAATTTATAAATGTACAAATAAACAGTGGGGTTGTGTGCAAATGTACATACATGTTTCAGCTGACACATGGTATTTGCAGGGGAAAATTCAAATGGTGTAAGTTTTTGCCAAAAATTAACTCATAGTCCAACAAAATGAATACCAGGAAACTGGTACTTGAAAGGTAAAGGGGTCAGGTGGAGGGTGATAGACAAATGAAGAGAGGAAGCAGGGGGGATGTACCCATAATACTCAATGCATAGCCTATGAAATTAAGAAACTTGAAAGTAGAAGTTGTGTTGGGAGGAACAGGGGAGAATGATGAGAGGCTGGCATCAGCCATGATGCATTATAGTCAGAAACTAATTTGTTGAATGGTAACTCCTTTGTACAGCGACTTTCAGATAATAAACACATAATTAAAAAATAAAGAAGCCAGCATGGGTGGGAAAGTCCATGTGACTCTTACCTCCAATTAACCACCAAAAAACCGGAAGTGGAGATGTGGCTCAAATAGTAAAGTGCCAACCTTGAGCAAAAAACTCAGGGATGGGGCTGGGAAGGTGGCTCAGTGGTAGAGCGCTTGCCTTGCATGCTCGAGGCCCTGGGTTCGATTCCTTAGCATCACATAAGCAAAAAGAAAAAAGCCGGAAGTGGTGCTGTGGCTCAAGTGGTAGAGCGCTAGCCTTGAGCTGAAGAGCTGAGGGACAGCGCCCAGGCCCAGAGTTCAGGCCCCACTACTGGACCCAAAAAAAAAAAAAAAAAAAAACTCAGGGATGTTGCCCAGGTCCTAAGTTCAAGCCCCACAGAAAACAAAAAAAATGAATTTAATTTAAAAATGGTTTCCACATCACAAAGGCAGTATGTTCAGGAGGATCAGAGAAACACGATCAGAGATGCTTTCTACCTGTGGTTTCCCTAATGTATCTGAGGATAGACAGATGCCAAGGACATCATACATCATGCATGCTCCTTCAGGGCCTGAGCTCTCTACATTTATCACAGCAGTGGACAGAACAGGACATCATTAATGTGATACCTTGGCATGCCCCGCCCCCCCCCCCCCCATTCCTCCTCTTTTGCTTGGGATGTGTATGGGTTGGTTTATGGGTATTAAGGGATCTTGGTTCAAGTCTAGCTCTAGTTCCTGCTTTTCCCCCCTCTGTTTCCAGTTCCTTGTCTGCTTGTAGGCCAGTCTGGCCTGGGTCCTGGGGACCCTGAGCAGAGTCAGATCTGAGTCTGAGAAATACATCATTTGATGGAGGGACCAGATAGCTCACCACACAATAGGGCAGTGCAAGAGGAAATGCAGAGACCAGGGAAGAGTTTTGAGAGGGTAGTGTTCTCAAGAGTCACTTTATGGCCAAATATAAACACTGGAGGGATCCTGGGTGTTGTGGTATGTCCCTGTAATTCCACCTATTTCGCAGCCTGACACAGGAAGGTTGCTTGAACCCAGGAGTCCATGGCCAATTCTGGGCAATATAGACTTCATCTAAAAATAAAAAATAAAAAAAAGAGGGCAGGGAAGGTGGCTCAGTGGTAGAGCGTTTGCCTTGCATGCATGAGGCCCTGGGTTCGATTCCTCAGCACCACATAAGCAGGGGGAAAAAAGCCAGAAGTGGCACTGTGGCTCAAGTGGTAGAGCACTAGCCTTGAGCTGAAGAGCTGAGGGACAGCGCCCAGGCCCAGAGTTCAGGCCCACAACTGGACCCCTCCCCCAAAAAACAATTAAAAAATAAATAAATAAAAAAAATAGGGTAGTGATGTGGCCCAATAATAGGACACTGGCCTAGTGTGCATGATGTTCTGAGTTCTATCACTAGCATCTCAAAAAACAAAACTGGAATTGTTATTATTCCCCAGAAAATCCCTCCCTTAAGCTGTGGATCTTTGCAGATTGAGAGCAGCTCTAACAAAAGTATACTTTGATCTCTATTTATCTGCAGAATGAAAGAGGAGAATCTTTTGGGAAAGTGCAAGACCTTCTGGAGACACAGTGATCAGCTGGGTAAGAAAACACTGATCTATGGGCTTGGAATATGACTTAGTGGTAGAGTGCTTGCCTAACATGCATGAAGCCCTGGAATCCATTCCTTAGTACCACATACACAGAAAAGGCCAGAAGGGTTGGGGGGTGGGGGTAGGGGAAGCATTGATTTAGCTTTTGACAAAACTGGGAGACAATTTCTTCTTCTCCTCCTTCTGTTCTTCCTCCTCCTCCACCTCCTCCTCCTCCTCCTCCTCCTCCTTCTTCTTCGTGTTTCTGGGGCTTGAACTCTGGGCCTGGGCGCTGTCTTTGAGCTTCTTTTTTTTGGGGGGGGGGGGGTCCTGTCGTGGGGCCTGAATTCTGGGCCTGGGCGCTGTCCCTCAGCTCTTCAGCTCAAGGCTAGCGCTCTACCACTTGAGCCACAGCGCCACTTCCAGCTTTTTTCTTTTTTGCTTATGTGGTGCTGAGGAATCGAACCCAGGGCCTGATGCATGCAAGGCAAGCGCTCTACCACTGAGCTACCTTCCCAGCCCCTTTGAGCTTCTTTTGCTCAAGGCAAATGCTCTACCACTTGAGACACAACACCACTTCCCCCTTTTTTGAATAGTTTATTGGAGATAAGAGCCCCATGGACTTTCCTGCCCAGGCTGGCTTCAAACCGTGATCCTCAGACCTCAGCCTCCTGAGCAGCTAGGATTACAGGCAGGAGCCACCAGCTCCCAGCTTGGGAAGACAATTTCTGAAACCCTTTTCCAGACAAGAATTAATTTGTTTCTCCCAACAACTCTGAGGGAAAGTTGTACCCCTGAGAAATATAACAAGCAAAATGTCACACAGAAATTAGTAGCTTACTCAGCACTAATACCCAGGTCTGTTTAGCCAAGAGTTTCCTTTAGATTCTGATCAAGCCCATCAACCCACTCTGCACAATGATTGTTTTTTTTTTGGAGGGGGTAGTACTAAGGTCTGAACAAGATCTAGAGATGGATCCATTAACTCATAATAATAATAATTATTATTATTATTATTTTGCCAGTCCTGGGGCTTGAACTCAGGGCCTGGGCACTATCCCTGAGCTCCT